CATCCTGCTCTGATTGCAACTTCTACTCACACAAATTACACCAACGAAACATCGCGCCGTTGAAGCCTCGCAAAACCATAACATCTAAGTTCAATCCGACAATGCCTTCCAACGCCCAACAGAGCAATGCAACGTCCAGCATACCTACAGATGCGAAGACAAACTTCCTACACCAGTCCGATGCCGAGTTCCTAGAAAAGCTTCGATCTTTCGCCAAGTTCAAGGAACGCTCGCACCAAACGCACCACCAAGTACACGTACCAGAACTCATCGCGCGCCTTCAACTCGATACCCCGTTACCTACACCCAGCGAAGATACTTCTCCCCCCGCACCAGATGCGCCCGTACCAAACCTCACAAACACATCTCTCATCAGTGTCGTCTACCTCGGCAACTCCATGCTCGAACGCTTCAAGACCAGCGGCATCACCACGGATATCGGCAAGCTCGGAGACACTGGAGTCGCATGGAACGCCGGTGTAGGCGGCGACAGCAACCAGAACGTCGTATACCGACTCACAGAGGGTCTTTACTCAACGCTCAAGACGGCGAAGAAAGACGTCTGCGACATCAAACTCTGGATCGTGGCTTCCGGGACGAACAATCTGCAGAAGAAGCGCGCATTCCGGAAACAGGATGTGGAGAGCTGGAGAGTGTTGGTGGAGGCTTGTCTGAGGATTGCGCCGGAGAGTACGGTGTTGGCGTGCGATATGTCGTATAGACTGGATATACCTGATGCGATTGTGGATCAGAGTAATGAGATGCTAAGGGAGGTTATTGGAGAGATCAACGGGGCTCTTCGGGTTGAGAAGGAGCACAAGCTGCAGACATATGAGGCTCAGACTGAACGGGATCGCGAGGACAAGGTGAAGTGGGTTGATACGAGGCACATGTTCATCAAGAATATGCTTGACGACCATGTGCATCTGAATGAGGAGGGCTATTGGTTGTGGGATTTTGTGTTATGGCCGCATGTGGCGAAGGTCTTGGTCGTCCCGACAGAGAAAGATGATCAGCTTCTTGATTGGACGTGAGTCTCAGCCATGCCTGGGTTTGGTCAATGAGGATATATTCATTAGCATTCTGGATAGTAAAAAGCAGCTATTGGGAACTTGAGAGGAAACTATTACAGGTCCTAAACCTATAGCTTGTCTGTTCATCCTACATGTTCAACACCACCCGGCGCATGTCTTGCAATTCCAAATGATTGGTAGCATGACTCAAGGTTTCTTGCCCATGATCATGTCTTTGAGATGTTGAAAGACTTCGGTATGATCCTGCTCGCAAGGATGATAGTGCCACAAGAACCGGCCGCCATTGTAAGTATCACGGACAGTAAACTCCACTTTCGGTGCCCGGAGACGTATCCCAGACTTTTCTATACAAGCTCTCAACGTGTCTCCTATGCCATCTTCGAGAAAACATCCGGGCATGATATCGCGTTCAAGACGCCACTCGATCCCAAGGGTATGTAGGTTGACGAAGCGTTCTTGCCATTCAGGGTTTATATTGGCGCGAGGTGCATTATCTTTGGTACCGTTGATCCAATAGTCTCGGGGAGGTAGATCTATAAGGTACATCCAACTCGTCGAGTGCGAGGCACATATAAGTCCCTTCTCTATACCGACCTTGCAGTTCATCGCCACAATATGCAGATGACGTATCATGGCAGCCGCACGTGCCTTGGGACGCCAGAGACCGCTGATGCGGTCCTCAGGGGGAAACGAATAGCCCTTGCCAAGTTTGACGTCCCCTGTTTGCATGCGGCACCCGATACACAGCTCGAAGACATTTTTGTTGTAATATACTTCTTGTGCGATGTTGGCTAGATGACGGTTGCGCGTGGCCAAGAGTGGGAACAGGTCCGACTGTAGACATTGGGCATGTTTTCTCTTGTCGATTCTTCCATCCAGGGTTAGATTGTGCGAGAGAACTTCGCACTTGAGCTCATCAGGAAGTCGCGCCCAGGCGTGGAACGATCGAGAAACTGGTATGACTGGCTCTTCGGTGTCGGTAGCTTGAGCCATCATCCTAGCATAGGTTCCCGACCTCGGTGGTAAATGGGGCTTGCGGGTGTGATGAAGGTTGATGAGGCAAGGTCTGTCAGCAGAGCCGGGAGACAGTTGCATGCTTTTGCGAGAGGCCCGAAAGCAATGATGGGAGAGAGAGGAATAGGTAGAAATCCGCGCCATCTTGCGAGGTCGTCCACGCTGCGGCACGGGCCAGCCAGTGCAGAATGCGCCTGTGACTCAAACTGGGGCATAGTCTTGGTTCGCGCGGGTCGTTGATGGAGATGCATCGACGTTGTCGTGAGATGATCACCACGAGTATGAACCGATTCGAGGTCGGGAATCTGAATCATCCTGAGCCTTTCACAGCGACTGGCGCCTACAAGTCAAAAGAGAACATGAACTTCATTCACCAAATGCAACCGGGGTATACTAAGACAAGAACTCCGCTTCCAAACTCCTTGGACATTTGAACAGGACTCGCAGATCATTCTCGCCACTCTTTCGCGCATTGGGTGCACTGGATCAGATCAGCGGGGTTTTTGAGGGGGTCGGGTATGTGGCGTACCTTGTAGAAAGCAGTCATGGGCTCGTCGGCACTTCGAATCTGCAGCTGGTACCAGTATGCTTCGTGGTTGCGGCACTTCTCGTTCGGGCATTGTACTGTGTACTTGTCAGGTATGCCAACAGGTGTAGCAGGTGCGCCCAAGATGGCGCAATCTTGGGCTAAAGTATCGGAGCGCACCTTCCGTCTTGTCCACATTATCCCAGGCGCCCTTTCCACCCAAGATGTCTTCGACTTCCTTCTTCTTTAGGTATTTCCGCTCGTAATAGCGTTTGTTGATTACGAAGTGGTAGGGGCAGGTAAGGCATTCGAAACGGTTTTGACCGACAGCGTCTTCGGTGGTGGGATCGCCGGGAGGTACTTTGGACACGCGCAGCATATTGCTGCATGTTGGGCAAACTGTGGCTGTTAGCTGTGGCTGGACTGGAACATGGAGCTGTATATGTGGCCATGTAGTAGGCATAAGCGGAACATCCGGATATGTGAGTATGGGACTTACAGAGCAGCATGGTGGGCGACAGTAAGCAAAAAAGAAGTTGGACGCGTGAAGTTGAGCGCGAAGAAGATCAAAAGTTATGACGGACCCTGACCCGCTAGGGCTGGGAACGGCAAAGTGCGGGGCGAGTGTGTAGCAGCGAAAAGCCACCGGCGACGCGCACTTGGGAGCGGACTGTCTCAGATTGGGGCTTATGCACGCTGGCCTGTCGACGTCGCCTGCATCCTTATCGCCGTATTAGAGAGATACTTCACTTCTTCACACCGCCCTGCCCTGTTCGCTTTCCGTTAGCACCTCCGAGTACCCCGCCAAACCACAGCTCGAAACATTCACGCGTACCTGACTGGACCGCCGTCCCTGCCCAGTCACCCTCCGCATCCTCAACACCACACACCATGGCGGACGAAGAGGTGCATACACATGCATACCCAGCGCCTGCCACTGCTAACCAACATGTAGGGTGCTTCCCCCCGCGAACTCGTCCTCGAAGCGTGCCGACGCAACAACACCGAGCTGCTTGAGGAAACTCTGAAAGACCTTGCTGCTGCTGCCTCAAAATCAGGGAAGAAGCCAGAGGATCATGTCGCGGAGACATTGAACAACACACGCGACGGCGTGGGTAACGGCTGCCTTCACGTCGCGGCAACATACGGAAGCTGTAAGTATCTATCCCAGCGGCGCAGCACCAGGACGTCTTTGTCGCACGCCACACGGGGCATGGTTTGACTAAGTCTGTCACAGTCGAAGTTATCGACATGCTTCTCGACCAAGACGGTCTTGAGATCGACGAGATCGACCGCATGGAGCAGGATACTCCCCTTCACAAAGCCGTACGCTACGTCAACTCGCTCGAAAAGTCCGTCTGGCCCCACGGACACTCCATCGTGGCCATGCTTCTAGACGCGGGATGCGATCCGAGAATAAGGAACAAGGCGAAGCTCAAGCCCATTGAGTTGGTGGACCCGAGGAACACCGAGCTAAAGAGCATGCTACAAAAGGGTGAAGTCTCGATGCTAATGGGTGGTGACGTGGTGGAAGACGACGACGATGATGGCCCAACAGGAAGCGCCAGTGATAGCGATTGAGAAGTCACACATGGGAGAGCACGAGTTGGAGAAAGACTTTGGGCCCCGGCTATGGTGGCAATTGGGGTATATTGAGAGAGGCCGAGGTGTGTACACCTCACTACCGGCACTCAGCGTGCGCTACGCTACTGAACGACTTCATAGTATCGGCTTTGATAGCCCTAGACAAGCAGCATGTACCCATCTGTTCCTCTTCATCCACGAGCCAGCCTCGCGCGCATTCGTGCTGGGGATGGGAGGCGGCTTTCGCTTTGGATCTTCGTTCTCCGCATGTCTCCATAATCAAGTCTGTCGTTTCGGTCTAGAATGTCCCGATCAATCTTGTTGCTACTTCCTGTTAGCTCATTACTTCTAAAACTCAACATTTCCATTACTCACCTCAGGCGGAGGCCCGACAGGCCTGACCATGCGCTCTAGTAACTGCAGTCTAGTCTTTTCGCGCGGCTGTCCCAGTCCGATGCTCATGTACTGTAGAAGAGGCGGGTGGCCGACGTAGCTCGAGAGCGAGTCGCGCGCGATGTTGGATGTCCATTCGTGCTTGGTAGTGTCTGCGCTTCCGATACCGATGTAGCGGGCCTGGAGAGCCTCGAGTTGTTGCTGCGCGCGCAGTTTGTCAGCCATGATCGCGATATGTACGGAGTTCGGTCGGTTGTTTGGAGATGTGCGACTGGGTTGGTGTTGGGCTTGGTAGGCAAAAGTTGGGCAAGTCGCGACCGCGGAGGTGCTGCGGAACCTGGGCTTAGTCATGCGGCATCAGCCCCATCATCGCGACAGCCTCGAGACGGATCCCCTCAATTCAACAAACTTCGGATCGCAACACCTTGCTTCTCTCCATCACGCGTCGCATGGCTAATTATAACCGCGAAGACGACAACATGAGCAACCACGACACGATAATGGGCAACGCGCCCCTCACACCACGCGACGAGCCCGAACTCACATCCCCCATGGTCGACTTCTCGCCATTCACTGTACAATACGACGAGGCGTTTGAGAACAGTCTTATGGAAATCATACTTAACCCACCACCCCAGCCCTCGCCGCGAAAGCCTTCAGACGAGATTCCCACAATCTCCGCGTCGCAACTGCCCATCTCGCTCTCCTCCCACCTACGTACACATCCTTCCGCCGTGCCGGGGCTTTACATGACGCACCAAAACGGATATCATACAGGTGGTCCAGGGCCATCACCACACACTATTGAAGAATTCGCGGACCGCTTCATCAGAGAGCATGGCATCGAGGATGCGGGGCAGCTGGAGAGGGTGGTGGAAGATGTTGTGAGGCACAAGCTGGAGGAGGCTAAGCAGAGGATGGAGAAGAGGAAAGAGCTTGTAGAGAAGAACAGAGGGATTGAGAGGGAGTTGGAAGATCTGAGGCTGCAGAGAAGCGCCGAGTTGAGGGTCATGGAGAGGGTCAAGGGGAAGAGGAGATGAGAACTGAGAGTCACTGTGCCTGTGGACGTTGGAGTTCTTGTGTGAGATTACGTTGGAGTTGTTATGATACCCGACATTGGAATGTCAAAGTTATTGGGGCGCAGCGTTGAGTCCTAGGTGTAGCGAGATTCTGTGCATATTGGGGCAGGACCTCTCGACATTGGAATAATGCGATGCGCACACGTCAGAGATCCGACTATGGCTGTTCCTGTCTAAGGGCCAAGGCCATGATTGCCATTGACAACGTACGAGCATTGCGCGTATCATCTAGTAGATAGACGAGCAGACCCACGATATCCCAGCTCTCAGTGGTGACAACTCAAGCATAAATTAAATGATGCGCAGAGCACGCGCATCGCCCTAACCCGGTGCCCAGGCGACCAGCGACTGCACCCTGAACCGGGGGACAAAGCTACCCGACCGATCAGACTGCGTCAGTCCGCGGCATAGCAGAAGCTATGGCCAATAGCGTCATACCTCAACGATCATCACTGCAGCTTCCATGGACACACAGGACCCTTGATCGTCTCTGCCGCGTGGTTTCGCGGGTCATCTGCTTCGCCATCGCGATCTGCCCCTGGGGCTACCGCTACAGTCAGGACTATGCTCTTGCTCCAGCATGCGGGGGTGGATACCAGCCAACCTTGATTTTTGATCGCACTTTCTTAACTTCACTTTCGCGCTACATGTGACAGGACCGTCGCTCAACTACAACCACCACCAACACATGCGAACGACCTTTCACTGAGTGCCTAATCTACAGACAACTGAGCAGAACTGTACTGCGACACACCTCCAGCCAAAACGCCAACATGGCAGACAAACTCGGGAGTCTGGCCTGGAGCGGTTTCAAACTTGGGTTTGGACTGTTCAGCCTTGCCGGAGTATGGACCATGGCAGTCATCAAGAACGGGGCGCTCTGGGCGAAAGATAGCGACGAGGAGAAGCGCGCGTTGGCTGCTGCGCAAGAGAGTTTCTGGAGTCTTGACCGGGAGCCTCTTCCAGGTTTCAAGCATGCCTTCTACAAAACCACCAACGGTACCCGCCTGCACTATGTCGTTAACCAGGACACTGGATCGTCACCCGCGAAGAATGTTACCATCTTTTTACATGGTATGTATTCACCAGCAGAGTCATGCAGGTACCAAACTTTAATGGACTACGCAACTAACAAAGACCAGGATTCCCCGATTCTTACCTCATCTGGCGCCACCTCCTCCAATCCGCTTCCCTACAAAAGGACTCCATCCTGATAGCCGTCGATCTCCCTGGCTATGGCGGCTCCGACAGTCTGTCCGCATACGGCCCGAACGAAATGCTCGAGGTGTTGAGCGAGTTCATTGTTGGCATACGAGAGCAGTTCCTGTCGGAAGGCAAGAAGGTAGTGGTAGTGTCGCACGACTGGGGTGCGGTCATTGCTGGCCGGCTGGCATCTGAGGCACATGTCCTGGCTGACCACTGGATCATCACAGGCGGCGCCGTCACAGCTCTACTACACTCGAACGCGATGAACAGGATTCTGTTGGCGAAGCAAATGCTAAGGACATGGATACACTCTCCGTTCAACTTCCGTCTATTGAAGAATGGACTACACGCACTCGGTCCTGTGGCTGGACAGTTCCGAAGCTCTTTCTACATCTTCGTATTCCATCTACCCTGGCCTCTTCACAACGTCTTTGCGACTTTTGGCAACTACTTCTTCCTGCGTGTTCTTCACCAGTTCGGCAAAGGCACGCCGAAGAAGGGCAAGGCTCCTACTGTCTTGGAACCTACGGAAGCTGCTGAAGCAATGGCAATCTCTACTGGCCCCGGAAGTGCCCAGCTAGACAAGGCCAACGACAAGGGTGAACGATACGGCGATTCTGTCAAGAGCAGGATAGGCGACCGCGGCATGTCCGAGAAGACCCTCATCTATCGCGACAGCCTAGCCTTCGGCAAGTGGGAAAAGTCTCTCGAGGTTACTGCCGCGCTGTACAACATTTCCTCTGAAGCTGCTTCTTCGCAGACCCTGTCCGCATCAGGCACCCTGTCCAGCATGGCACCACAAGGCGCGCTGAAGGCCCCTTCGACACTCATGATGGGACAATTTGACCCTGCATTCAATCAACGGCTCTCGTTTGACAACGCTCGCGACTATCTGGTCAAGGGAAGTCAGGTCGTGATTATCAAGGGAGCAGGCCATTGGTGAGTCAACCCGAACACCCCTATTGAGGCTACATTAGCTAATATTATGCAGGCTACCCCTTGAGCACACAGGTAGACGTGCGGTGGAGAAGACCCTGCAGTGGGCGTTGCAAGGTGCTGGAAGCGAGACGATACCCTTTGAAGCGATGAGCGATGTGCGCATTCTGGAGGCGTTGTAAGAGATAGCTCGCGTGTGATGTACGATCATGTAGCAGAAGAATTCTACAGTAGTCTTCACGACTTCAGTGCCTCACGTACAGCGTTTGCTCTTTCCCACCCTGGAGCGCACAGTCCTGGGTTGGCTAGGCTTGGCAACTATAGTACACAACACCCGGTACTGCCTCACCCACTTTGCCTTGATAACGCCTCAGAATCTCGGTAAGAAGATCATACAGATCCACGAGGCTCACAATCACAGAAGTGGGCGCGGATCCTTGAGTGCACAGTCTGCGCGTTAACACAACCTCAAGGTGAGTGCTTTGATCATTCTGTTCTAATCAAAAGCTCACACGGCCAATAGATTATTTTTCGGCGCAACAGAATCTATATGGACGATCCCGGCACGGAATTGTCTGCTACCTTCCAAGGCTGGTCGCGGCTCCCAGATGAGTTGAAGGTGCAGATATTGGCTCACAACCTTGATCAGAAGGACGGGATCAAGCCGAGTGAGCACGATCCAATCTTCGCAGACCAGCTCATGTCCACCATCGGCACCCGGGATCCGATGGACGGGATCAAGTCGACTGCGCACACTCGTGTCTTCGCAGAACAGCTCACCTCCATTATCGGCACTCGGAACCGCGAACTCACTACGCTCGCTTTGGAGACGTACTATACGCGAAACGTTTTCAAGGTCACAATCGACATAAGATTTCCATCACACCGCACATACATTCAACATCCTCCGCCAGCTTACGGGCACCTCATCAGGAGGATGGAAGTACTGGTGTATACTTGCTACATGTACATGATGACTCCAAGATTGTTACTCCAAAAAAGTTCGACAATGCGTCACATTCTCAGCCCCAGTCCAAAGTCGCCGCTTGGAGGAGATGTCGCCCTCAATTTGTTCGCCCTGTTACCACACGAGTACAGCGTCTCGACCCTCTGGCAAGCAAACTTCATGCATCTACAATCACTGGCATTCAGATTCGAATATCCGGCGCAAAAGGAGATTGCTCTGTTTATACGCCCTGGCGAATGCGACCACTGCGGGCTCGCTCCGTTTCAAGTCGAGCGGGTCCTCACTGCGGTACAAGGGATGCACATCGCGTTACAGGCCGCGAAGACGACCGTTGTTTTCACCTCGACCTGTCCTTGTCTCACTCGTCTAGCCCAGTTGCTTGCACGAATGGCGACAAAGTCGGACAAGTGAGAAGGAGATAGCTGACAACAACGCGATCAATTCAGACACCGCTAAAAGTGTTTGAGAAGATGAATGGGGCCCTCATGAATGTGAGCTGTCATTGCATTCCGCCCTGTACCATAAGCCTGGTATCGGAATAGATAGAATGACAGACAGCTACATGCACATCTTAGTATGCACAAAGAATCGAAAATAATACAAAACTCCAAACCATATCCACCCTTTCAAAGGCCATCTGTCCCCTGTCTACTAACCCCAAACATGGGTACAGCACTATCACTAATACCCTGCACCCGCTCGCTCACCCCACTTGCCTCCATAGCTCGTGGACTGCCCATTGCAGGTGTGTTGCTAGGCCAGGCCCACAGCGCATCGAAGTCAATTTGCTCGTCCTGTCCGCTCTCCTCGGAATGTAGACTGGGTACACGCGTTGCTTCCAAAGCCGAGAGATCAAGCATTGCTGATAGCGAGGGCGCTCTTGAGGCCGATGTATACGATGGTGTGGCCACGTCCATCGGCGGGGGCTCTTGAATAGGGGACAGATGAACACTAAAGTCTTCTCCTGTGGGAGCAGGGCTGTTCTGAACGTTGCCATGGTGTTGGTTTTGTCCAAGATTATGGTGTTGCTCAGAGGCTTGATACGTTAGTACCGGTTCGTTGATCGGCGCTGTCTGCATGCCGGGATATATGTGTACAGGCACTTGGTGGAGTCGTGGTGTTGCATCCATCGGGTTTGATGCGCGCGCTAGATCGGGTGCCTGGGGCGCAGAGTTACGTTGTTGCTGCGGCATCTGCCTGCCGTAGAGTTGTGATGCGATGCTCGGCAGTGTCGCATTACTTGTTGAATCTTGTCGCCGGCGTAATCGCTGCTGTGCGACGACGTCTCGGAAAGAACTCAGGATGTAAACTAGACGGCTTGCTTGTTGATCGCTCTCTGCGCAGTAGTTCATGACATTGATGGCATTGACAACGCAGTTGTCCGTTAGCTCGATCTGGTATAGGCCGGCAAAATCGCTTGCAAGAATGACGAGGGTGGCTGCGAAGAGGAAGTAGATGACGGCTGGGTTGCGTCGGGACAGATAGCCAGCCTCGTAAGCGTTCTGTATGAGCAGGATGGTATGCACAGAAGCGATTACACATGCCTCGCTGAATCGCTCCATGCGGTGGAAAGGGCGTGGCCCTCTCGATCCAGGTTGTTCGACATGCCGCTGAGTCTCTTTGTTGAGTATGTACAGTAAGAAGGGTCGAGTAAGAAGTATGACGGAATGGCAGTAGAATAAGTTGACGTGCAAGATGGCCACGCCTTGACTGGGCGAGGCAGTCGCTGCTTGTCGCCATTGCAAGATGGGCGTCAGCAACCGGGGCCATGTCTTACATATGTCCGATATTTCTTGGGCGAGACGAGTGCTGATCTTGCGTTGCTGGTACACCCTCCGCAAGATGACGCCGATGACTCTGCAGCTTCGAACGGTGGCTTCCAGAGCAGGCGGGCCAGTCTCGTTGAAGTCGTACACAGTCTTTGCGCTGAAGCTCCATGACTGGTTGCGAACACTACTGTCAGGCGGGCGGAGTGTATCTCCTGAGCAGTCGTCTTCCGATATGGCCGTCGGACGGCCAAGAGAGCAAGAGAGTAAGCGATCCATCACGAATATCGACCGCCAAAGGTCCTTGCGCTGTGTTTGTTCTTCGGGGCTGAAGATGACCATGGTCTCTTCTCTGTGGAGGCCCAGCGCAAGCGCAGACCGTACTGCCATCCCGAGCAAAGCGAAAGCAGTGTTTCGCTTGCTTTTGGCCAACATGTAATATGACATGAGAAGCAACGCTTGGACAGACCAGAAATCCTGATCCTCCAAACCTGACATTGGATCGTTCATGTTCCTAGCATTGAGATAGAAAGCCTCGGCTCTGTCGAGGTGTTCACTGCGAAGCTTGTCGATTATCAGCGCCTCAGAGCTTCCTGAAAGTGGTGTCGCCATGGTGAGGCCGATGGCGAAAACGAGGTTGAGCAAGCATGACCAAGATGTATCGACAGATAGCGGATCGGAGTAGCAACGCTCTAGTTTCTCAAGAAAGGAGTCACGTCGGAAGACCTGCAACAAGCCGTGAGTATTGACGAAAAAGGCATCCACCAGCACGCGTGCCGTTCGCTCGTCTGGGAGTAGACTCGACTGTCGATATCCCAATGGAAGTGAGTATTGGCCTTCGACTATCTTGTGACGACGAGGGTCAGTCGTAAACGGTGACGGGCCGGCTACAGTTTCGACCATCATCCGGAGGAGCTGAAGAAATGATAGGGTAGCTGCATCGCCAATATATATCACGCGTCCCGTTGGATCTTGTAACATGCGGCTCTGGCTTGGAAACTCCGCTACTTCATCTGTGCCATCATTGGGAGTGGAGGCGTGTGTCGGAGTGAGCCGGTCACGAGTGTTATCATGACTGACAGCCAGACGATCGATTGAGCTGTTTGCATGCTCTATACTGGTTCTTGGGCCTGGAGACTTGAACGGTACTTCTTGCTTGACACTGAGTGTGCGTGTCAACAGACTTGGATGGTTACCGGAAGACGTGCGGTTATGTAATGACAGTGGCGTTGTCTGGGCGTGCTCAACAGCCGGTGTGTTTGCAGCCGGGTTGTCAGTTGGACTATAATGCGAGCAGTCAGCAAAGCTAAGCTTGGAAAGTGTCTAGGCATGTAGCGGTGAACAATGCTTTAGAGGAGTGCAGAGTCCCATGTAATTGGCAGAGTGACGAGATGCGAGATACGTACATAGAACCGTCGCTGTCATTGCCACTTTCAATCGTACGTCGCTTTGCGGGTGGTCGGTCCTCGCCTGGAGAATTCGGATCTCGATCCGCGTATATGCAAGTAAACTTGCGCTATCTTTGATCAATACACTGCAGTATGCAATTGGGATGGGGGCCTAACCTTATCACATGTGTTGCAGGGACACAAGCCGTTGCACTGTGACCTGTCAGTCTCGTATGCCAACTAGAGAGCCTAGTTGCACGTGTCCGCGAGTCATCCTGCGAAGAAGCCGATGCAGATGTTGTCCATGATTACAAAGCGTTCGGGTGAAGCATCGCCCAGCCGGACAGATTCTTGTTGTACAACGTGATGGAGCCGCACAGCTAGCCGATGGCCTCCCGCAATGCCTCCACACGGCGATCGGTGAGCATACCAACCTCAAGATGCTAGCGTAATGGCATGCAAGAACTAAGTTGCAGGTCGTGAACGTCGACAGGGGTCTGTGCCAAGTGCATCTGTAGCCGAATGCGAAAAACGTCGTGACGCAACAGTTGAGAAATTGAACCGACCTTCTGTTTTCTCCTCTTGCAACTTTCGCACGCCTGAGCGGTGCGCTGTCGTTGGTCTGCGACGCGTCAAATTAGCCGTGAACTCGCCAGTACGAGCGCAGACGAACCTGGTGGGACCTTGGGTCGCGTCATCACGGTATCAAGTCCGCGGGCAGTCGCAGTCGTTATCACGTGCGAATCCGGATGGTCAATGCCTGGGAGTACATTGCCGACGCGACGGATGGATGAGTTGGTCGGAAGATGCACTCGTGGTAATGATGGAAGCGAGTCACGGAAGTCCCATAACGCTACGCGAAAATGACGCGGAAAAGGGCCCCGCAACCTTCGCCGTCTGTATTGATGAGATGGAGACGATCACAGTAAGATCCTGATGGCCTTGCTGATGAAATTGGGTGACGAGTCCCTCGTGGTTGTCGCGAAGCTGCGAAGCTTGGGCTTCCCACTGTTCCGAAAATCGAGTAGCGCTGGACGTCTGCCGATCGTCATGAAATCGGC